AAAAAAAAAATTGGATTCCTTCCGGACTCAACCAATAAGCAATTCTTTCTAACCAACCCTGACCCTCCGATATGTTCTATCCAAGGGCACTACATGTTTCCGTACCTTATAATAAATATTTAATGTGACCAAAAGAGCACACAACTTCCTTCCTACCCCCAACCTTTTGGGAAAGGTATGTGGCCAACTAGGGCTCTTCCCTTCCTGTTGGATCCTCCCAGTGTTGCAGCAGGAAGCAACCAGTCCATAGAGATAAAGCAAGCTAGTATTTGTGCAGCGCACAACCTTTCCTGCTCAGGAACCGGGCCTTCAGGTCTGGCAAGGATAACAGCCACCACCCATCCGCAACCTCTTCTCGCGAACCGAGTAAAGAGTTATCCCGGGTTGTGTGCCACTGAGTAGGGAGAGCAAGAAAATAAAAGGCTAGGTGGGAAGTAATGTCAGCCTGCCGGGTCACTGCGACAAGTGCGCGACTGGGTGATGGTCGATCCCTCTTACCCTCCCACCACCCGGGTCGCAACGGAGACAAGGGAGCTCTAAACACGATCTGGGGAGGGAAGGTAGAGAGAGTTGCCAAATGGGGAGTGGGGGAGGGAGCGGTCAGAGAAGGTTAAGGACCGCGAGAACGGCGGGGTGGAGGGTGGGGGTGGGGACCCCTGGCCCGCTCAGATTTTACCGGGTCCTGGACCCGGGATGCGAGAAGCTTAGAGGGGGGGCCGAACGAGGAGAGGAGAGATGCAGAAGAGAGGCTCGCTCGAGGGGGGAAAGGGGGCAGATAAGAAAAGACCTGTAGTGGGAGTCTGCACCGAAGGCAAGGCCAAGAGGGAAGCGAAGAACTCGTCAGAGGGGCTTCGGGAGAGGACGCCAGCCGAGAAAGGTGTACGCTGAGGGGGAGGGGGCGCTACACCCGAAAAGAGAGATGGTGGGAGGGGCGGCGGGGCCGCAGAACCCGGGGAAAGGAATTCGACGATATGCGAGAAGGCAGTCCGCCAGGGGAAGGACACGCAGGGAGGGGCTGTGAGGCCAGCCAAGGCCCACGGAGAGGTCGCTCAGAGAGCGGCATGTGATGGGGACCCCTGTCTGAGGAGGGGAGAAGCTGAGCTGGGTAGGAGACGGAACCGCACAAAAAGGAAGGGCTGAGGCAGGCCTCTATCAGTGCACGGGTGGCCGGCACGTCCGCCGAGAGTGTCCCGGGTGCCCGAACGGGGACTGTGTAGAGTGCGAGAGCCCATGGCCTCACCTTTAAAGAGGTAGTCGTACTCGTCGTCGCGGGTGCCCATTGCGCGGCCGAGGAGCGAAAGGGCGGGAGCAGCAGTGGTATCTGTGGGACCAGGGGGCGTCGCTGCAGGGGTAACCCGAACGCCGAGCTTCAACTGCCGGACTGGGTGAAGAGCCCCTCCTTGCCGCTGCGCCACTTCCGGCAGGCCCCAGCCTTTAAGGGGAAGTACTTCCGGGGGCGGCTCCCCGTCCCTGAACCCAAGAAGGGCGGTGTGCACGAGAGTCGCGATGCGTGGGGCTTCAAACTTTCGTCGCTAAAGGAGGCTCAAAGGGGAAACTGAGTCCTGGAATTCCTAGCTACCATGGTCTTAGTGGCCTCTTGCTCATTTCTCGAGCTACCGTGCCCGGAAGCGACTCGCTGGAACCGGGCGGGACCGCCTGTGAGTGGTGGGTTTGTGGATGAGGGCGGGGTTGTCTAAGGATCAGAGAGCCGAAGGCAACTATATACGCGTGGCGGTTCCATGGTGTAATGGTTAGCACTCTGGACTCTGAATCCAGCGATCCGAGTTCAAATCTCGGTGGAACCTGCATTGGTGGTTTTTTTTTCCTTAACAACTTTTTTGTTCACTAAGTAATTGAACAACTATGACACATATTAACATGGAGATGTAAAATTTAATCCTTGCCTATGAAGACCTCACAAATTTCCCACTGCATTTGAGGTACTATCTGCTACCTGGCAGATATGAGCCTCTTCACTACCTTTTTTTTTTAACCCTGGCCCCTCAAACTTTAATTCAGAAGCTTCAGTGAAACTTGAAAATTCCTTTTGCTGGAATTTTCTACCTCCAGCTTCATGCACGGGTAGGCGCTTGTCACTCACTCCTCTCCGGAAATCTCAGTCTATCTCGTTTTCATTTAGAGTACTTCGCCCACCCTCCTCATCAAGATTCATCAAGAACTTGAGTCCTATTTGTAGGCCTCTAATCTAAGTCCGTTTACATAAGTATTTCATTTAATATGCCGAGCAAAGGATGGCAATTTCCATTTTAGCGGAAATTTGGATACTAAGACTCAAGTGATTTGCCAGATATCATGCCGCAGGGCCTCCCTGTATTTGAAGAGAATTTTGTAATTCCAGAAAAGCCTTTATCCAATTATTGTCACACCTCCTACCTCCTATATGCAAACTCTCGATTTAGACTTGTGGGCAAGTGTGCCTAGAACAAGCAGAAGAATACCACCTGCCAATGATGTCCACTTCCCAATTCCCAGAGACTGAATAGGTTAGGTTACATGGCAAAGGGGAATTGAGGTTACAGATGAAATGAAGGTTGCTAATCAGCTGACATTAAATTAGGGATATTATCCTGGATTATTTGGGTGACCCCAGTGTTGTCGTAAGAGTACTTAAAAGTGGAAAAAGGGCTGGGCACGGTGGCTCACGCCTTAATCCCAGCACTTTGGGAGGCCGAGGTGGGTGGATCACCTGAGGTCAACAGTTCAAGACCAGCCTGGCCAACAAGGTGAAACCCCGTCGCTACTAAAAATACAAAAAGTTAACCGGGCGTGGTGGTGGGCACCTGTAGTCCCAGCTACTCTGGAGGCTTAGGCACGAGAATCGTTTGAACCCGGGAAGCAGAGGTTGCAGTGAGCTGATTAACAGCTGAGTCAATGGGCTGGGAAAGGCAGGCCCACCCTTAATCTGGGTGGGTACCATCTAATCAGCTGCCAGCGAATATAAAGCAGACAGAAAAATATGAAAAGGCTAGACTGGCTTAGCCTCCCAGCCTACATCTTTCTCCCGTGCTGGATGTTTCCTGCCCTCGAATGTTGGACTACAAGTTTTTCATCTTTGAGACTCAAACTGGCTTCCTTGCCTCTCAGCTTGCAGAAGGCCTGTTGTGGGACCTTGTGATCGTGCGAGTTAATACTACTTAATAAACTCCCATTTATATATATATATGTCTATCCTATTCATTCTGTTCCTCTAGAGAACCTGGACTAATACAGTTGGTAAGAAAATAAAAAGGAACTCTCTAGTAAAAAGCCTGGAATTATAAATTTAGAAATGCCTAGCCTTAGACTATGTGGGAGAAGGAAGACCTGAAATATATCTCACCCTCCACATCTGGGGAGGTAACCTTACATGTTTGTTAAAAACAAAGTGAGGACTGATAAGGCTGTGTTTAAACTTCAGCTCAGTCATTCACTAAAGCTGTGTCAATTTCAATAATTTATCTAATCCTGCTGAATCCCAGTTTCTTATCTGCAAAATGGGGACAAACAGGAAGAAGGAATTAAGTAACATATGTATAGCTGTTAACAGCGTGCATGGAACATAACAAATATTTATGAATGCATTGACCTTTTTCTTTTTCCTTTTTTTTTTTTTTTTGAGTCAGGGTCTTGCCGCGTCACCCAGGTTGGAGTGCAGTAGTGCGATGTCGGCTCACGGCAACCTCCGTATCCTGGGCTCAAGCAATTCTCCCACCTCCACCTCCCAAGCAGCTGGGACTACAGGTGTGCACCATCGCACCTGGCTAATTTTTGTATTATTTGTAGAGAGGGGGTTTCGCCATCTTTGCCCAGACTGGTCTTGAACTCTTGAGCCCAAGCGATGCTCCCATCTCAGCCTCCAAAAGTGCTAAGATTACAGGAAAGAGCCACTGTGCCTGGCCAAATGCAGTGATTTTCAACAGGGGTCAATCTTGTGCCCAGAGACATTTGATAACATCTGGAGACATTTTTAGTGTCACTACTTGGGGGTGCTACTGGTATCTAGTAGGGACCAGGGATGCTGCTAAATGTTCCACAACACACAGGATAGCACTCCCAACAAAAAGAATTATCTGGCCCAAAATGTCAGTAGTTACCAAAGTTGAGAACCATGAGTTATTATTGTAAGAAATAGCCAGATGCCAGGCCAGAGCCTATGATGGGAAAGGGGCAGGATGCCATGATCCTCACCTCCCTGTCCTAGCTTATTTGAAGAAAGTGAACCCCATTCCCTAGGTCTCAGGAAGAATCCCCAGGGACAGACGTTCCTCCCTTCCGTATCCCATAAAGCAGAGCCTGGGGGCCACTGGCCTTACCCAAAAGCTTCCGTAGTGGTTTCCATTTGTTAAATAAACATGTCATTGTTATATTTCTTTCTTTCTTTCTTTCTTTCTTTTTTTTCTTTTTTTGGAGATGGAGTCTCTCTTTATCAACAGGCTGGAGTGCAGTGGTGCGATCTCGGCTCACTGCAACCTCTGCCTCCCAAGTTCAACTGATTCTCCTGCCTCAGCCTCCTGAGTTGCTGGCATTACAGGCATGCACCACCACACCCGGATAATTTTTGTATTTTTGTAGAGACAGGGTTTCACCATGTTGGCCAGGCTGATCTCAAACTCCTAACCTCAAGTGATCCACCTGCCTCAGCCTCCCAAAGTGCTGGGATTACAGGCATGAGCCACCACGCCCAGCCTCAGTGTTCTATTTCTTAAAGGATTTTTACAGGGTTGTTCCCTTTATAACTGTGTTAAACTCTATATACCAGTTTTATGCACTTTTGTAATAATATTAGGTTTACCTCACAATACAGTTTTCAGATGGGGCATCGTAGCTTGTGCCTGGGAGGCCAAGGTAGGAGTATCGCTTGAGGCCAGGAGTTCAAGACCAGCCTGGGCAACCTAGCGAGACCCCCCCCCCATCTCTACAAAAAATGGAGAAATTAGCCAGAATGATGGCACCTATGTACCTGTAGTCCCAGCTACTCAGGAGGCTGAGGTGGGAGAATCACTTGGGCCGAGGAGTTCAAGGTTACAGTGAGCCATGATTATACCACTACACTCCAACCTGGGCAACAGAGCAAGACCCTGTCTCTAAAAAAAACAAAAATGTTTTTGAGAGAGAAAAGTTGATGGACTTTATGAAGTGAAATTTGGCCCAGCATGGTGGCTCCTATCTGTAATCCTAACAGTTTGGGAGGCCAAGGCAGGCAGATTGCCTAAGCTCAGGAGTTTGAGACCAGCCTGGGCAACATGGCAAAATCCCACCTCTACTAAAAATAAGAAAAAATAGTCAGGTATGGTGGCATTCACCTGTAGTCTCAGCTACTTGGGAGGCTGAGATAGGAGAATAGCCTGAGCCCAGGGAATTCGAGGCTGCAGTAAGCCGTGATTGCATGACTGCACTCCAACCTGGGCAACAGAGTGAGACCCTGTCTCCAATAAAATAAAAATAAGTAAAAAATTTAAAAAGAGGTGAAATTTGTCTTTTGTATTGTTTATCTTTTATATAGAATATATTCGAATGTATATTATACTATATATATATGATGTATACTATATATATGTACACTATACATGTATATAGTAATCCCACTAACTGAGCCCAGTAACTGGGCCCAGTAACTGAGCCCAGCTGACACTTTCAGGGATAATGGATATGTTCATTATCTTTATTGTGCTAATGGTTTCACAGGTGTATACATATCTCAAAACTCGTCAAATTTCACATTTTAAACAGGTATGCTGTATTTTCTGGAAAGACAGCAAGATCAAGGAAGATATACATGTATACTATATACATATATTAGAATTTATGTAATACTCATATATTAGAATATATATACTATATTATATTATACTGTATTATATATTAGAGTATATACTATATATTAGAACATATATTATACTGTGTTATATACAGTATATAGTATATTATGAGGTGACAAATTGTACATATGATCAGGAAAATTCTCATCTTTGATTAGCTGGGTTTTTGTTTGTTTAAGACAGTCCTGCTCTGTCGCCCAGGCTGGAGTGCAATGGCACAATCTTGGCTCACTGCAACCTCCGCCTCCCATGTTCAAGCGATTCTCCTGCCTCAGCCTCCCGAGTAACTGGAATTACAGGCACATGTCACCACGCCCAGCAGTAGAGACGGGGTTTCGCCGTGTTGACCAGGCTGGTCTCGAACTCCTGACCTCAGGTGATCCACCCACCTCGGCCTCCCAAAGCAAGCCACCGCTCCTGGCCTGATTATTTGTTTATAGTAACTAAAGTATCAGCTAGCCTTAAAGAAAAAAGTGATAAATATATATGTTTACAAATAAAGATATGTATTAGGCCAGTGTGGTGGCTTAAGCCTGCAATCCCAGCACATTAGGAGGCCAAAGCAAGAGGATCGCTTGAGGCCAGGGGTTCGAGACCCCTGGCCAACATGGCAAACCCCCATCCCTACTAAAAATACAAAAATTAGCTGGTGTGGTGGCACATGCCTGTGATCCCAGCTAGTCAGCTGGCTGAGGCAGGAGAAGTGCTTGAACACGGGAGGCAGAGGTTGCAGTACAATATCACGCCACTGCACTCCAGCC